GATGCAACGCTGACACACCCCAGCCCTGCTCTTCAAGACCATATGCAAAAGAAAAACGTTATTTTTTTTTTAGACAGCCTGGACCGGGAAAAAATTACGGGGGTACGCTTAAGACCGCTTATGCGTAGGAAGGCGAAAACGTTATAGTCCAACGGGAGAAATATTTTCGAGTAATGTTTCTACACGTATTAAAGTTTGGGACGACGTTTAGAACGACGTCGAGGACGACGTCCTAGAGATTGACGCAATGTACTGCGTCTAGGAGGGCCTCACGAACGACGTCGAGGACAACGTCAAAGACGGCATCTAGGACGACGCCGAGGACGACCTCAAGGACGACGCCAAGAACAGCGTCGTCCTTGAGCGTTTTGGCCAATTACTCCCATTTTTCGCTGAATGAGACGAGTAAGGGTTTTGCCTTAATAATCTCATAAAACAAATTTATAACGAAAAAAATATTTCTTTAAGATGCACCAACGGAGCGAAAGGAATCGGTTGTAGGAGTCCTCATGAGCCGACACTAATCACGTGGTAGGCTTGTGCGCACCGCACAGTGCCGTCAAGTTATGCCGGAGCGGTTCAGTGCCGCCACCGAAGTCCCCAGAACCCCCACGCCGCCGCCGCCTCACGCTGAGCTTGCCGCGCCGCCGGCTGAACGTGTTTCTCCATGCCGCCGCCGCCGTCAATTTCTGGCCGCCGCACCTGTCTGTTACGTGGTGCTCGCGCTCTTTTGGGAGGCTTTCTACGGGCTTTAAAAGTTAGTGACTAATCTTCCTTCTTTGTGAACTTCAAAGGAAGATTAATAAGTAACTTTAGCGCCTATAGCAAGCTCCTAAAAGAGCGCAAGCACTACGTGACTATAGCGGCCAGTCACGTGACCATAGCGGCCACTTTTCCGCTGGTTCCCGCGGGCGCCAACTAAAAGTTAGTTTCCTAGAGTAAGTCTAGGTCTAAATTTTTTTTCGTTGAAGATTTATTTAATAACTTTCTTTCTCTGTGCAAGCAGCAAAAAAAAAAAAAAAAGATCGTATATTGCGTATGTCCTCTAAATTTTTTTTTTCTTTTTTCAGAACTACATTATATTTTGTTGATATCATGGTTTAATTTCTGGAATATGCAAAAAAACCCATGTAGTTTTTAAAAAAAATGCCCATTGAAAAAACAGCTGCGTTCAACAGAAATTTATTTGGGCAGAATACAACCTTATAATATTACACACACACAAAAATGAATAAATCAAACACGCCATTTTGAGTCTAAATGGAGAAGCCGGTCACGCCTTAGAATGACTAACATCTCCATTTATTATTTTTTACACATATTGAAGAAGAGTCTAAACAGAAGCATCACAATGTACGTCTCTCGCCGTACATTGTCATGGTCGGCTATTTAAACATGAGTGGCATTCAACCTCAAAAGTCTCATATTAATTCAAAAAGGTCACATCAACAGAAAGCAGAAACTTTGCTACGTTTCTACAGAGTCATCCTTTTGTTCAATACTATTTTTGCAAACTGAATGCCACAACTGAATTTGCTATAACAACAAAAACTATTTGGTGGTTTGTTAAGACCAGTGCAATATTGCTGACGCCACAAAAAAAAAAAAAAAAACACTTAACAGTGGAGAGATATTCTTCATGGATATCTCTCCTCTGTCGAGTGTCGAGAACCAAAATGTGCTGAGCACCGTTTTAGGGGACTAGGGAGCATGAGGAATTAGTTGAAAGTGGTTCTTGAGAGGGAAATGTTATCAGATATATCTTATCAGCCTGAGGACTCTCGCGATGAAGGATCGCGACTGCGGCCTTTCCTACTCGCATTTTATCAGGTGCGGAAAGAAGCTCATTTAAAGCATAAAATGATTTTTAACGGAACCCCCCCCCCCCCCCCCCCACGGAACTCTGAAAATTTTGCCTCTCCGGCCGTCCGTACCTTTCCCGCTAATTTTAGCGGAAGAAATGGACGCCACGAGACAAATACGCAAATGCAGTTTTACCGCAAAATTTAGCAGGAGCATTGACGCCACACGACCAGACGTCACGTGATCTCCGCACCAATATAGTTTATTCCATAGATTGTGCGGAGAAAATCGATATCATGTGACCTATGCACCTGCTCAGTTTCTCTCTAAATTCATAAAATACCGGTTCTTCATCCTTCCTCAAAGCGGCTGTTTACAGCCTTCAAAACAAATTTAAGGGACCGCCTGTTAAATGGTGTATTTCATGCATTAGAGTACTTTGAAGGTAAATATTACTGCCAGTGTGCATCTATTGACGTCTCGGTAGGACGTATCGGGATGCAGCGGGTGAGGATGATGCCTTCACTGTTCCAAACCAAAGACATTCCCATCTTCGCTGCACCGGCGGTGGCGCGAAATGTCTTCGGTGGCGAACAGTCGCAGTGTTTTTATTACTGCGACCGGCGTTTCGTTTCAGGGTTGATATCAGCAACCCTCTCTTGTTTATTTCAACGATCGATAAAAACACCCATCACTAATGCAGTTATCACGCAATAAAAACACATAATAGGAGTATAAACCACATAACTACATTATATTTTCGGAATATGATCATCATAATTTTTAGGGGTGTCAGGGTGCTCTGAACTAATGTGGAAAATATTAAATGCCGTCTTAAAGCATAATGTTTCCCCCGACAAAGTCAAGATAATCACAGATGATGGTGAGTTATTTGGAAAAGTACTTGCAGATGCTTTTAACAAATATTTCGTGAATATTGTAAATAAAACCGTAACGAACTGTAACCTCGTGAACATTCCGTCCAACCCGAATTCTATTTTTCTTAATCCTGTAAATGAACAAGAAGTTATTACTACAATTATAAATTTAAGCAACAGCAAGGCTAAAGACGCTGATGGATTTCAGATAAAACCAATTAAGCACGCTGTTGAACTTCTTGCCCCTTACATAACGCATATATTTAACCTTTGTCTTAGTCAAGCTGTTTTTCCTCGGAAAATGCAAGTTGCCCATATAAATGTGTTGTATAAGAAAGGCGATAAAAATGACATGGGAAACTACCGTCCCATGTCGATACTTCCAATTTTTTCAAAAGCGTTAGAAAGAATAATTTTAAACCGTTTTGTTGACTTTGAGCAGAAGCATAACCTTTTAAATGAATCTCAATTTGGTTTCCGTAAAGGACTCGGTACAGAGTCCGCACTGCTCGCGCAGAAAGAACTAATCTTGACCGCACTCGAGGAAGGAAAATTGGTTCTTGGTATCTTTGTAGATTTAACTGAAGCATTTGATCATGTAAATCATACATGGCTTGTTCAAGAACTTCAACGTTATGGTTTCAGAGGGAAGGCTGCATCCTTAATCACCTCTCATCTACTTCATCGTTTACAAACAGTCCGTATAGACGATCATTTCTCCGATCCACTTCCTGTTTCTTGCGGTGTCCACAGGGGAGTATTCTGGGTCCTTTTCTTTTTAATATGTGTGTAAATGACATCGTCTCTGTTGGGTCAGATGTTAATATGATTATTTACGCTGATGATACCAGCATATTTATAACCGGAAATGTATATAATGAGATAGTCGATAAAGCAAATTCGACGTTACAAAAACTAGACGAATGTACGTGCCAAAATAGCTTAAAGATAAATATAAACAAAACTAAAGCCGTATTATTTCGTAGTAAAAATAAAGTGTCATGTTAAATCGACCAATAATGCTAAATTCGACACCCATTGCAGTTGTTTCTAGTTTTAAAGCACTAGGGGTTGTTTTTCAAGAAACTTTGTCGTGGGATACACATATTGACTCCATAGTTGCTAAGCTGTCCCAAATAGTCGGCCTTGTTTATCGTAATCGGCACATTCTGCCACGAAATATTATGATTTTAATTTATAATAGATTGTTTTCATCTAGGCTTAACTACTGCCACTTAGTCTGGGCATCCACAACTCAAGCAAATCTACATAAAATACATGTCTTACAAAAACGGTTCCTAAGAGTTGTTGAAAATATTCCGTCTTGCTTTCACACGCATGAGTTGTTCGTAAAATATAATGTATTGCCGATTCATAAAATGTACGATTATCGGCTCTCTAAAACTTTTAAACAAGAGGTGAAAACTAAAACATCGTTTTTAAAAGGACTAGCTAACTTACAAACCAATACTACCGCCTACACAACATGCCATGGTAAGCCTTGGAATGTTAGCACTTACAGAACAATCTACGGGCAAGATACGTTGAAAAACAAACTGCCAAGGTTACTAAATAGATTAGCTGCCGAAAATGTCGAGCTTTTAGATAGTACGTTTAAAGCATTGCGTCGTTATTTCAGCCCTGAGTCGACTTTCCTTATGTAAAAAATGCTGTGTAATATTATTAAACGTGAAACTAGTTGTGCATGTAAGTAATCTTTTTTTTCTCTTGATAATGCTTTTCAAGATATCCTACAATTGCGTGGTTGTTACGTAATTTGAGTGTGAACATTGCTGCTTCTCTTTATTCTGTTTATCTTGCTTTTTCTGTTAATGTTGTAGTCTGTATGGTATGTTGATAATTTTCTTTTTAGTGCTGCAAATGCCAATGTTGGGGCCTGTGGCTTTGTCAAGCTGGTCTTGTGACCGCTTTTTCCACGAGCTTCCAGTATCATGTACTCTGTATTTGATGCAAATAAAAACCAACAACAACAACAATAATTTTTAGTGTTTGAAACTTCGGTCGGACCAGGTAGGGCTACGATCTTTTGATGACACTGACAATGTCGCTGCAGCTCATACCTATTCCCTCTAAATTATAGCATATTTCGAAGTGCTTATCATTCTGCTATTCGCTCACTTTTCGGAGAAACCAATTACGATACATCACAACTTGAATGCCGTAGTACTACAGGGGACGAGCAGACGTTTGTCTGAAGCGTTCGTCTCATGCCATCAAAAAAAATTCGTAGACACTCGCCCGTTTTACATTGATGTTCTTCTAAAATGTACAGTTTATGTACGCAGTATTCTGACTTACGGGAATGACAGCTGGCGAGCAGCGCTAGTAACACCACCAAAGTGACCATCATCCGTCGCGGCTGCGACAAAATGTTCCTTCAGACAAATACCTCCGATTCGTCCAGCAATCCCTACGAAATGTAAATAGAAACGTAAGAGATTCGAGAGCCAGATCAAGGTAACAAATTAAATGAATGAAATAATTAACATCAGTTCTAAGACGTAAAATTGATCCACATACCCGCCAGATTATAATTCTGATTTCTGGTCATATCACTATTTGCTGTAATGTTTTCCAACTCACTCATGGATACATTTCTAATGTGTCTCCTGCAAAAAAAAAAAAAAAAAGACAAGAAACTCCTTTATTTTGAACTATGCCGAACGTTTTAACATTTTACCCACTTTTGTTTTATTACAACCTACTGATGGCACGTCAGAAATATTATACGAAAGAAATAATCATATTCAGTGTACACACTAAAAGGGGTAATATTAGCGCAAGCGAAAATGAAAACACCTTGAGACAAATAATTCAACTTCAATATCTAACAAATAGTATTAACAAAACATGAATCCACTAACATGCGTCAAATTCATTTAGGTTCACAATGGTGACAAGAGAGGGTGCCAGATCATTCCGGTCACTGACGGCTCGTGAAAAAATATGACAAATTAAAAAAAAAAAATATATATATATACATTGCGTTTTATAAAAATTAAAAACAGAAAAAAATGATCATTAATTTTCTTATAAAAATATGTACAAAATCTTTATTATTTTCGACTTTGTATATATATATAAAATATGTAAGTTTATCAAATAAGACATCTAGCAAACAGAAAATAATATTTTCACGCATATAGAAAAGATGTATATTGCATGGTGAATATATATATAAAAAAACAAAGATAGTTAAGTTCATTTTAACAATCTTTGTTAAACAGTTCATATGAAATGAACTAATCAACGCGGGGCTTGTATCGTTGACAACTGCCACTGTCTATCAGATTTTCTTCTCTAGTATCGAGTCGATGTCTTCCTAGCGTGGTTACGAAATGGTCCATATGGTGGCTCAGATATGTGTTCAACTTATTTCTTTGATTTCTGGAAACTATAATTTTTGCTCGTGGGCGAATTCGAGGGATACACAACCGGGTTTTGCGAGTCCATGTCTTTTTTTCTTTTTTTTTTTTCTTTTTGAATGTTTGATGCGCGTGGATAGTCTGCAAAAAATAATCAGAGTGCCAAAATAGGCAGCTTTTGGCATTGGATCGTGAATGAACGTAGATTTTAAATTGTAAAACTGGGTTTCCAATCGCGTCTCGGTGTGTCTGAACGGAGTCGCTCACGAACCGCGTCTGCGACCGCTTCGCAAACGCAGCTCAACTGCAAGAGTGAATGCGCCAGGCTTAGACGAAGTAGTCGTAATCATAAGCATGACGATGAGTGTGATCCAAAGCCCACGCGATTCACGCTCGCAATCGACTGACGCTATAAATAAGAATCCTATGATGAAGCTAAATAACATAGCAGTCACACTCGCGCAGCAGCTTCTTGTGCTCACAGCACATTTTCTTATATTGCTCTTATGCTTATCAAAATTATTTATGCACCCGACGACGACGCAGTGATAGCCAGACAACCGCAGATTTTCAAAAATGTTATTATTGTAAAAAGTAACACTCGGAACTAGGGCAGGCCTTACACCATCGAGCGCCCTGGGCGAACCCCGGTTGTGCCCCCCCTCCCCCCTTTCTTGCCCTCCCCCCTTTGTATACGACCCTCTCTAAAAGGTACGACATCACGTTGTCACTGAACGTGTGAGTTGTGGCCCAACGCGAGCGTTTTGTTAGACGAGAACCGCATTCCAAAAAAGAGCGGATATCGAGCATTTAGCATCGTATCGGGCGCCGCGTTGAAATAAATAAAAAAGCTGAAGCGCCGCGCCCCACTTTTGATGACGCCATGGGCCAGAACCCAGGTCACCTACCCCTACGGCAGCCGCTGCTCGGAACTATAGCAGGAGGGAGTCATTTGCTCGCTGGTATAAGGATATACAAAAAAAGGTCTATACGTTTCTCGCCAGCGTGTTTAAGCACGTTTGTGTACAGGGGCAATTCAATAATATATACTTCGAAGTATAAACTTTCTTAAAAAGCGTTAACCAGCATGAATTTATATATCGGCCGTTTTGCTATCGAGTTCATGAGTCCGAGTTTACTTCTTGTAACTGTAACGGGAGATTGGAGAGCTCCCTTTAAAATAAGCCCTACCTTAGTTAAAGGGACATCTATGCACAACGTGAGAAGCATCTCCAGCTTCCTATACTAAAGGGACCTCAACTAAACTTTCCTTTACGCTGCAGTGTGTATGGGGTACAAGACATCATTATGAGGAAGACTTAACAAATATTCGGAAGGAGAGCCTTCTAAAAGTATTGGGCGTATCTACTCTTTTGTGGAGCACTCGGCAGAGCTAATCACTGACCTACATGGAAAGCATGTCGAATGACAAAGCAGAAAATATATTTATACGGAACATACACTGGGCTTCGTGACTCACAATATCACTCAACAGAGGTCAATTTTCTGTCGAAACGAGTTTCTCGGTATCGTCATTCGTCGAACTCTCGCCGTGCATAACAGTAATCGATTTCCCGAGAGATTTTTTTGCAATTGAAGTTTTCAATGTCTCAATGACGTGTACTAAGTTGTTCTCTACTTTTTTCTTAAGTGATATTTTAGAGTTCCAGAAGATGTATGTTAATATGTACCTTCTTCTTGGGTCTAATAACGTCGGAATCATTAAAGTGGCATGCACCCAATACACTTTAAGGGGCACAAAATTGAAACTTGAAATATCGTCGGGACACTTCGAAACGCATGGAATATGAGCCATGATATCCGTAATTGATAAACGCGCTTGTGCGTCTTCAGCGAATGCCTATATTTTTTGTTCGAACCGACGGATTCAGGCGAGAGCTTCAAAATTATCCGTCGGGGCGGCGCGACAAGTCTCGGGACATTTGCCGGTGACGTCACGCTCGCAACGTCACAGGACCATAGAAGGCCAAGGGTACCGTAATTACGATCGTCGTCACTAGGTGGCGCCAGCCCGATCGCAAGTGGGTGAAGATGAGGAAAAAGCGGAGCGGTGTCATAAAGTAAGGCGCAGACAGCGGCGAAGCAACCGTAAAAAACAGACATCGGTCGGGTTGGGGTTCTTAAAACCTCCAAGGAGCAAGGCGGGAACGAAAATAGAAGGAATTGTGTAGCGCACTTGGGTCTGAGGATATTACCATTTTCGGCGTACTGAACCACACCTCCGGGGCTTCGAAGGACAACCGGCGCACCAAGATTGATGTTGGGAGGGGTGCAATCGTGAAGAGGGGCAGCTACGTGGATCAGGTGTAGGAGCATTGTAGAGCCGCCCGGCCCCTTGGCATTGGGATCCCAGAAAGTGTCAAGACCACATCTGTCTGACCGGTGAGCTGGTATAGAAGCCAGAAGCGCTATGTGTGTTAAATCTCTCTGTAGGAAGTGCGCGAGACAAAGGGAACGAAAGGTTTATCGATTGTGTTGCGAGGGATGGGCGGGAGGTCAGACGAGACAAGGATGTGCTCATCATGGGTGACTTTAACGGCTATATCTATGAGCTTGATGGCCTCTCGAAAATGAGCGAAGGACAATGAACCTGGTGTGCTAGGGGCAGTAGAACTTGCATAGATTACTGCTTGGTGTCACAGGGCATTGGGCGCTTCCTCGTGCAAGTGCATATAGACGAGGATGGTGCGCACAGCGTTAGTAGCCACCACAATCGTCTTAAGTTGGTCTTCAACAGGGCAACCAGGAAGAAGGCGAGGGAGACATCACCAAGCTTCATGCGTCCCTACCTTACCGAGGATGCTGCAGCAAAAGTATCGGAACGTTTCGTGAAGAGCAATGGAAGAAATAAAGCTGGACACTAACAGGATACGTCAATGTGCTTAAGCGTCTTATCAAGCGGCATGCGAGAATGCGCTCCAACGGAGGCCGAAGAACGAAACGTCGATGGGACACTGAAGTAAAGACAGCCATTCAAACTCGACAGGCTGCAAACATGGAGCATCGCCTGTCCCTTCGAATGGGGCTTGAATACACGGTCGTACAAAATTGAGAGCTGTACCAAACGCGGAAGCAGTACGCCAAGCAGCTCACTCAGAAAAAAATAAGGACAGCGGATCTACGTACTGTTCTTCACATTCGCTCCAGTGGAAAAGACGCTTCGAGGACGTTTTAGAGCTACATGGGTACACTGGAGAGCCGAGACCAATTGACCCCGTCCTCGATGAGTGCGCAGGACAAGAAGTGGAAGACCCGGGCGCACACATCACGACGTACCTAAAAGAGATCTATTCTACCGAGTGCACATTTACTGCCAGAAAATAAGAATGGACAGCTAAGTCTACGTCCAATAGCACCAGATGGGGAATCGGCGAAGTGAGTATAGTGTGTGCAGTAATTCACCTTAAGAATAACCCATCCCAAAGCCTGGATGGTATCCCGGTAACGGTCCTTAAAGCCTTGGGAAATGACGCCAGACAACAGCAAGCGTCTACACTGAACGACATTTTCTGTTGGACAGAATCTATACCAGATGACTCGAGGCATGGCAGAGTGGTCTCGATCCCCCCCAAGAAAAGGGAACGATCGCCAACATCTACGCAGCTACAGGCCTCTGATGGTTGCGAGCACAATATAGAGAGTATTCGCATAGATGATCGGAGCGGACGGTTTCATTGGCAGAAGAGGGTGGGCACCCTACTGAGCTATAGGGAAGCTTTCGTCGAGGGCGCAGACTTGAGGACAATCCGTTCAAAATAAGTCAGTGCATCGAGGTAGCCATAAAAGTGTAAAGACGTTTACTGTGCTACTTTATGGACATTGCCGAAGCCTATGACAGTGTTCCTCACTCACTGCTCATTCTGTTTTTGGGGCAACTAGACCTGCCAGAACAGTGTGTTTCTCTCGTCCCCCTTTTTTACGAAGGCAGTAAGCTGAGTGCAGAAATGAAAGGGGTAGAATCCGAAGACGTGATAGTGACTAGGGGACTTCGGCAGGGGTGTCCACTTTCCCCGCTCCTCTATATGTTCTACGTGGCTGGGATAGAGGAGAGGCTAATTCAGTCAAGAGTGGGCTTCTTGTATGTATTGGAAATAAAACTATTCTATTCTATTGTACCACTTAACCCACCTGGAGGGTAGTGAGGAGGTGAACTGGGTGCTGTAAGGGCTCACCTTCGCCGACGATATCACTTTAATGACTGAGGGAGCGGAAGATATGCAGCGGCTATTGGATATATGCACTGCGGAGGCTGCAGTGCGACACCCAAATGTCCCTAAATATTAAAAAATGCATGCATGTATGTTTCACGCGCTCGTCTTCCCCCCACGTATCACTAAAGTCAATGACACCGTCCTCCAGGCCACTACCGAACATAAATATCTTGGTGTTTATTTAACCAATAATTTATCCTGGAATAATCATGTTAATAAGATCATATCCTCAGCTAATCGCTCTCTTGGTTATATTCGGCGTAATTGCAAGACGGCTTCTTCTAACCTGAAAAGACTTCTCTATATTACTCTTGTTCGCCCTAAACTAGAATACGCCTCATCCATCTGGCATCCCCACTTTTCATTTCTCACCAATGCAACAGAAGCAGTCCAAAACCGCGCAGCTCGTTTCATTCTTTCCGATTACTCCCGTTTTTCCAGTGTCACAGAAATGAAATCGCAATTAACCCTCCTTGACCTTTCTCTTCGCCGCAAAATTTCCAGGCTTTCCCTCCTGCATAAAGTGTTTTACTCTCCCTCTTGAAATCAGTCTCTCCTTAGCCCACCCAACTATGTTTCTTCAAGACTGGACCACACATGCAAGATTGCCTCACCGAAGACCAAATTTACAGCTTACAAACACTCATTTCTTTGAAACTATTGTGGACTGGAATGGCCTTCCCGATAACATCGTCACCATCGCAGATAGCACCAAGTTTCGCCTCGCACTTAACCACCACTCCCCTCTGTAATGCCCCTCGGGGCCCTGAGGGTATTAGTAAGTAAAAAAATAAATAGATAACGCAAAAATCACCAGCGATTGTACATTTCTCAGGGTCGGAAGACACGATTTGCTGTAAACTTAAGTTGGGTGACGAGCTGGTGTCACTTCAGGACTCGTACAAATATTTAAATGTCATTCTAGCCATTACGCGGGAATACCTTCGAGGTCATCACGCTCATCTTTGCCAGTCAGCTGGGCGAGGGGCCAACGTCTTTCAAAAAAGAAGTCTCTGGAGCTCCAATATGTTCCTATAGTTACACGGGAAGTCTGGAATGCAGTAATGGTTCCGGGCTTGGACTTTTGGCAATGCCGTTTTGTGCGCCCCTGGTGAATTACTAGAAGCTCTGGAGCCACTAATACGAGCAGCGGGACGAAAGGCTCTGGGCAGTCAAGGAAATGTGGTTAACAAATCCGTCCAGGGAGACCTAAGTTGGTCTAGCTTCGAAACCAGGGAAGGAACCAGCAAGATAAGTTTTTACACGCCTCCGCCACATGGATCGAAACCGATGGGCCAAAACATTTTCTGTGCACACTCACATGACTGGGACACAAACAAGGTGCCAGAAGCGCCTCTTCCAATTCCAAACAAAAATACCCTTAGAGGCAGTGACGGGTGGGAGGGTGGAGGCTAAAGAGAGAAGCAGAGTACGAGAGAAGGAGGTCTTCCAGTGGCTTGAAGCCGCTCAAGCGAATCCAACGCTGCTGCCGTATAGCAAAAACGAGTAACTGATCGCGGCTGAAACCCTGCTCTATGATCGCAGCTTGGGCAGCCGCCCTTTGTTCGAGGCACCAGCGGCGCTCTACAAACTCTGGTTTACCGGGAGCGGCTTGACTCCAAGCTGGTTTCCACGATTTGACGCCCGTGGAGAAAAGTACCTGAGACAGTTGAACACCAAGTACTCTTTTGTGAGCGCCTGCTGCCAACCGTGCTGGTAGATCGCCGGCTTCACTCAGAGGCTGTGCTCGCGTGTGCAGTGGGTTTTAACACGATGGCTGACTGAGACGACCTCTATACGGGCTGAGCAGACGCCTTTACACAATCAGGCATGACATCTGTACCATGGAGTGCGTGCGAAGGACCAAACCGCGTCTGGAAAACTGGCGGAAGAAAATTTAGAACAGCAGAAGCTTATAGGGTTTCGTCTAGGGCACGAAAACTCTTCGAGCTCGCCCCTAATAAAAGAAAAAGCCGCATCCTCAACATCGTTGTCATCACGTGTTACAATCTCGCCAAATAGGAACTAGAACTGAAAGGTTTGTCAGCCGCCGCTCGTTCCCTCGCGCCTCCATAGGACACGCCGCGCTGCGGTGCTGCTTCTGATGTGCCCACGACGTCTCACATTCTAACGGAGCTCGGCCCCCCAACTACCAGGTGTTATTGAGAAATCGTTTTATTCGTTTTAAATTGCTTTTCTTACGTTTAGCGACAAAATATTCGTGTTTATGAGCTGCTTTCACAAAGAAAACCATGTTTACGCAAAGGAATAGGCGCTGAAATTTCGGTTCCGTACCTTTTTTAAAAAATACACAATTACAATCATCGATGTACAAGATGGAGAACTTTTCTGAAGACAAAATAGATAGTGACAACCCAGTTATGGTTGACTAAAATGGTGAACTTGACTGAGGTAAAATATTGACTTAATTTTCATTGACTTCAAAAGGTGCGTTTATTTTCTCAAATATTTATTTGGAGAAGTTTGGGCAGCACATTTTAAGATCTCTTAAAGTGTTTTGTCAATGGTGGCATAACATACTCTGGGTTGAATTTTCGCTTTCACTGGTAAGTATATCAACGCGAATCGTTTTTAGGCTAGGTTTTCAAATTAAGTGAAGCCACAAAAAGCGTATCTGTGAATTTCCCTGCTAAATTGATTTAGCGGTGCAATGCTTATATATTTTGTTGGAAAACATAATCTGTGTGTCGGTGACGTGAAATCAAGCAATGTGACATCAATTTTCCTGCTAGATTTAGTGCGGAATTACACGTTAAATTTAGCGGTAAAATTGGCATCTGACTGACCTTAGTCACTGGAATGGAGAGGAGTGGGGAGTCCTGGGGAGGCAGAGCTCGAGAATGAATTCCTGGAGGTAACTAGCGCTAAACCAAATCTAACACTAATTGAGCATGGGGCGGAAGGAATGGATGGAGTCAATGGTATGGAATAGAGTCAATGATCTGTATAAGAGTTGTAACTTGGGCGAGTTGCGGATGCCATACTAACGAAAAAACGCGCCAAAAATTGACAAAGGAAGGACAACGCAGGTCGTGTCTGCTCGTTCAACCTGTCATTGTTCAATATTTTGTGCTGTCTTTCGTGCGTCAATAGGCCAATGAGTGAATGGGGTAGTTAGGAGTAAATAGGGTGTGGTCAACGGGGTGGAGAGGAGTGAAAAATCTTGAGGCCGAGCTTGCGAAAAATGCCTGAAGTTTCCAGCGTTAAACCGAGTATGTTTCACGTAATAACACAATGGCATGATATTCACGATATGTCGTTTTGTTCATTGCAAGAACTAAGGACTGCAAGTGTTTATCTGACCATGTTCTAAAACATGCTTTCGAAAATATTTGGAAAAAAATGAAACTTACATGGTGACTAACAACACAGCATCAATGCGTATTCCACGTTCCTTGTGCCAGCGCACCTCTAGCCTATTGCCGAATACCTTGAGTACTGCTTTCAGAAGTTCGGAATCTAGGGCTTGCTTGTCTTTAGTGAGAGCTCTGAAATCCTCCTGCGGAAGTCAGATATTTAAAAAAAGGAGCACAACCCCTGCATAAAATAATTAGAAAAGCGTAACTTACATTCCACTGACTGGCTCCAACGAGCCTGAATTGCACAGTTAGTGTAGGTTTGGCAGTTGCCAGTATTTCGTTGACCTGATAACGAGAAAGCCATCAAAATAAATAGTCCCATGACTCAGAAAGTTTTGTTATTAAATCTTCATTTATTAGTTCAGTTCACGCCTCGTCTTTCAAGAAAGACTTTAGAAATTTCCTGCTAATCAGGTGTTCAAGAGAAGAATAACCGTTTATTTTTTTTTGAACAAACTGTCAGCCACCACGGACCCTAGGCATTGCAGAAAATATCCTAATTAGCTACATAATTCAGTCTAACGTGCTCGTTAAATTGTACCTAGTGAAAATAAACATATGGTTCTAATTATAAACATTGTGGTCGTCATCGAACCTCCCTAAATTATTGAATTTTAGGTAGATCTTAAGCACGTGTAAGGGCTGTGGCTGTGCTAAAGTTTCTAATCGGTGCAGGGAAAAGGTTGATGCAAAAATGCGGATGATAAAAATATCAGGCACGTTTTGGCATCGCCAACCTCGACCCTGGTGCAGGAGTGGAATTGAATTGAATTAAATTGAACTTTATTTCAGGAACATAATACCAAGGACACCGGTAAAAAATCTTTCACTGTGTACGGTGCCCTTGCACGCACTGGGAATGCGCAATAAAAAAAGAACAATTATACTAAAACATTTCTAAATGTTGTATTAAAGAATCGAACACATTTTGTAAAAAATTATCAATACATTTAAAAAGATTCCCATAAAATTTGCGAACAACAGTTATATTGAACTAAACAAAGCAAAAAAAGTGTGCAGTGTGTTTTTTTTGTTTTTTTTCTTAGTTATACAATGGATATAAATGCCATCCACGCAAATGTTGTTGAGCAGTGTAGGTAGGTTATGGAAAAGAGACTGCACTGCATATTTTGTCCGAATGGGAGGAACCTTCCAGAATTCGCTGTGACGAACATTGATAACTGATTGACACCCAGTCAGGTTCGCTAGTTCCGCCAAAAAAAAAAATAAAATAAATAAACGCCAAAGTTCATAAGTCGTACAGAAGTAACAATTTATAGCCATAAGTACTGAAATATTTTCTGACACAGTAGATCAAAAATAAATGTTCCACATATCTGTCGTGTGGAACGTGAGCAATAAAACGAAATATTTTTTTATGGAGAATCAGAAGTTTGCGGATCTGCACGCTTGACACGTGCCTTAATTATTCCTAAAATTGACAAATCTAAGTGTCTTTGATGACGTTCAGCAAGTGTATCATTAAACCTCGTTTATTTTCATAAACTAAGAAGTCTACCAGTAGCTTTTCCTTAAATATTTACCTTATTAGTGCGTTTTGTGGAATAAGTAATGTCTGCATGCTTGGCACTTTGTTCCAGAAGACATTATTTTTACAACTACCGTATGCGCAGAGAAATGGAGTGAGAGGAGGAGACGGGACCGCGCGTGGACGTCAGAGCACCAAGCTCTGATTGGAATGATTAGTTGGTAGACATAAAGCTATAGATGCCTTTGTCTCCACTGCACTTGTAGAACGCGTTCGAATGCGAGAATCAAACGCCGGACGTTAGCGTTCCCCGTTCTAAAGCGTTCGGAGAGTGCAGTGAAGACAAAGGCAGGTAGCTTCAGGTCTACCTACTAATCATTCGAAACAGAGCTCGGCGTTCTTACAATACCGAGTGCTCTCGTCTGCTCCTCTCAATCAGTTTCTAGCTCTGCGCATGGGTAGGAATTTTTTACAAATGTTTGCTAAAACGCTTGGTTTGATTCCGTGCTTAAGAGCAACGCAGCACGGCGAGGGCCTCAACTCTACGAACTAAGACTACACGAAAGGTACACCATGTAAACTAACGATTTTAAGGCGCATTAGACGGCTCGCAAAAATCGGCATCTCAACGTACCGCGCTACGATTCACTAAAGAGGTGTAAGCAGGTGGTGGAAGTGCGCTGTGAAAAGATCAGAGAATTAACTTACCTCGTTATAAAAAAAAAAAAAAAAAAAAAACTGTTCTGCGCAATCTATGCCGCCACTTCGCAGACGATGCGCGCGAAGTGCTGCCGTCAGATAACGTACGCCACGTTGAGGGAGCGCCGGCCCATGCGGGTTGTGATTGCAGACGATCCCTTAAAAAAACCCGAATCGGAGAGCGCTCTCTGGACGCGGTGTACGCCATCTGTCGGCAGCACTTCTCGCTACCCGTGCATCGTCTGCGAAGTGGTGGCGTAAATTGCCCAAAACAGGTTTCTGCATTTTTTTCCGCTTGAACGATGTAAGTTCGTTCCTTGATTTTGCTTTTACTGTGAACATTCACCACCTGCTTGCACCTCTGTGGTAAATTGCATGGCGGTACGTTGAGAAACCGATTTTTGCAATAAAACTAAAATGTCTTAAAAGCGTTCGCTTACATGCTGTATAATAAAATTATAGAGGGCAAGAAAGTCGGCAACGAAGTCTTTTGAAAGTAAAATGTCACATTAAATATGTGTTGATGATGTGTGGCTGTTGATTTTGCATAAAACTTGCATAAAAGTAAATAGAAAATGTAACTCGAAATGTTAGTCTCCTGCACTAAGGGTGGGGGGGGGGGGGGGATTTTGTTTGTACCGTTTCGAGGAAGACGAGATATGCTTAAGCTCAAGAAAGAGAACAGGATCAAAAAATACTGTGCATTGCTTCCTAGGTAAGGCGCCATATATGTACATGGTGTACAGAACTTTAATAGATCAGAAGGAAGAGGCCCTGCGTAAAGTTTGTTACATTGCATTACTGAATGTGAAAAAAAAAAAATACTTTGAAGACGGAACAATAAATTCGTGGTTGCATTTAGTGTGAATAACATTTTAAAAGAGAAAGCCACACCCAAGAAATAATTTATTTATTTATATAAGAGCACTGCCAGTGTCACGGAGATTTTAGCCGGTGGTAAACTGCTTTCTTCAGCTTTAACATACTGTTATACATAGCTATATATACTTATGCTCTGAAACCTCTAAAATCCTTCGATTTTAGCAAAAATAATTAAACCAAAGCGACGTCCTTTTGTGAGTATCAATATAACAACACTTTTGCATAATTAATGCACATCTTCCAATAGCTACACCACTTCAAATTAAAAACCAGATCTTGATTGCACTCGTACTGACTGTTAGTATTATTCTCGTTAGAATAAAGTAGAGGGGCGTCGACATAAGTTTTCAATTTTATAGAAATTTCCTCCACAGTTTATTATTCGCAAAGATAAATGCTTCACGAGAGCGAATTATTGAGGAATCGCAGAATATAAAAAAATAAGTTATCAAATGAAGCGCTGTCAAAATTGACACAGCATGCTAGAAGACTAGTCAACAATTCCATTGACGAGCTGCTGACTGAGAACATACTTTTTCCTCTCCCTTACTTTTTTATTTCATATATTTCGTGTTCTTTATTTTTTGAGCAATATAATCGTTACAATACTCGGTAATCAGTGCGACATTCAGGAAAGGAAACAATGATAACTCTTCAGTGCATGGCAATGACAGTTGCGTTAGCCTTGTAAAGACAGCTAGCTAGCGTCTTTGAAATAAAAAGACGCCTCATAAGGTGGTGCTTTGGTATATACATAAAATGAGTGGCTCAATTTATGGGCTAAAAGGAACTTATAATTGTATGCTACATTTTTTTTGCAATTGTTCGTTGGAACTATATTTTCTTACCCCGGAAGTAAAAAGGCTCACTGTCGAATAAAATTTTTTTACCAATTGATTATTTATTTTAAACATAACCTGTTATCCGATTCTTCGCTGTTTGTAAATTCGCAACGCCGAACTTATTATGGCAATAGACATTTGACATACGTAACTACTTTTGTGAGGGTTACTAAGAAAAAAACATAAAACCCCAGCGTGTAATTATGCAAAAATTCGTATGCAAAGCAAAAAAAAAAAAAAAAACATGAGGTTGTACCGCATAGGAACCCAAACAATTACTTTTTTACAGCGGAGCTGTTAAGGGCTAGTTACCCCAGAATTGTCTCCCCCGCAAAAAAATAAAAATAAATAAATACACCGAGCTCTGGACACCTACCGCCATCGATGAGTGACAGCGGCAAGCAACGTATCTGGTTGCCGCCGTCACTCATAGATGGCGGCAGCCTTTCCACTCTGGCTTGCCGACTTGCGGCCGGCCATCCTTCATCAACAGAGTGGAAAGGCTTAAAGATTTTTTAACTTTTCATGAAAAACGGAACGAAATTTGATGCCAGCAAAAGCAGAGCGTTGGAAGGCGATGCATACCCGCGGCGGAAAATATGCAAAAATAGCGCAGATCTAGGTAACATGAACAGAGCGCGACACTGTTAGCGCGAACAAGCGATGGCCGGTTTTTCCAGTTTTTCTCTTTGAAACCAAGTGATGTCATCCAAGTTATTATTGCTATGGAAAGAGCTGATTTAGTTCAATAATGTAAGCGATAACACTTCGTGCTCGATAATACTATTTAGCAGTAAAATTCGAAAATGCGCCGATGTCGTGTTCGCGCTAACAGTATCGCGATGTGTACCACTTTTCTACTTGCGTCTTCGTTTAGTTAGCCATTCCACAACAATATCTCGAAAGTTATCGCTTAACCTTGTGCAAAGCCCTTCAAATTTACTCACCTTCTTCAAAAACTCTCTCAAATATTTCAATATGCGATATCTATGGTAAATATGTTTTTTTAGCTGTTTACCATAGTATATGTAAAGGTCAAGATACGCCGAACCGCCAGAAGAAAGCATGCCTGAAAATGAATAATAAAGTTCATATATAATGAATGCAATCAGCTCGTGGACGTTTGCATGAAATAAATGCGTGGACAGCCGGTAATTGCAGATTTTGTTTAGACTCTATAATAAGGAGATATAAAGTACTTTTCAAATACAGATGAATAGGTAAAAACATACAAAAAAATTTCGAGGACACCTAAGCACTTCTTATGAGTTGTGAAGGAGAAAGCATCCTCGGCGCCGAGAGGAGCAAAAGCCGCCGCAGCGCCGGCAGGGAGTGCGGCGGTCCGCGCGAAGACCACCCTGGCTCGCTGGTGACTGTTGCAAAAAAGCATTCACCTTAAATTAGGGAAATGAAATTTAAGGAAAAGCATTCTCCTTAAATTTAAATAAATGAAAAAGTACACGCATGACGATAATAATCCCTAAAGAAGGAGAATAAGGGGGCGGGGGGGGGGGGGGGGGGGTACAAAGGACAAACCTAAATATCCGAACGCAGTTAGGTGACCGGTGCTAGGGCGCAGTCTGAGCGCGCACCGCCGCCTTCCCTGACGGCGCTACGGCCGATTCTGCTTTTCTCGGTGCCGAGAATGCTTGCTCATTCACAATTCATAAAAAGTGCTTAGGTGTCCTCGAATTTTTTTTTCTGTGTCGTTTTAGTTATTAATCTTTGTTTGAAAAGTGCACTATGGCTTCATCGTAGAAAGTACAGTTTAAAATAATATATTTATCCCCTATCTAAAGTCGTACTTCTTGTTAGAATAAAATTCGATTGACGTTTTTAGTTCGTCCATTTTCTTTCGTAGTTCTTCAAAGCCTCCAGCGGACTTCTTTTCTTTCAACTTCGTTAACACGTTGAAGCTGTTACCATTGTCTCTACGGCCGGTTCTAGACAAATTCATAGGTGTCTTTCGGCCATTGATATTTGCTTTGGACTTCTTAGCACAAAGAAACAACAACAACAAGGATGTCTTCAGTAATGAATAATTGTAACCTCTGAACGCAAGCACAGTTTGCGAATTGCCTATGGATCATTTTTAAGCACTTAGTCATTTGTACGGTTTATGAATAGAGGCGACAAGCTTTATAGACAAAACGGCTAACTAAGTGGTCGATGAATTAAAAACTCTAGTATAACTCTTCCTGTCTGTCTCTGTATATGTTGTATACCGGCCCGCGCGAGTGGGCACGTACACATAATTTTCATTATCCCAAGAACCAAATGGAAGGTAGAAGGCTTGAACCTTCAATCTGCTCAGAACATAAACTCTTTGAACAGAACATGAAGAAAACATGCAAAATATTTTTAGTCACGCTAAGTGTAGGTTCAGAAACGCGACCAAGGAAACACTCTTTTTCTTTTTTTTTTGGGGGGGGGGGGGACATTATATATCGTTCAACACATACCAACCACCTTGAAGTGCAAAATTTGTGAGGTTGAGCTAACTAAGTAGCATACTGCTTCGGCAAATAAATTTAGATAGATCGCTATTTTTTTTTTTTTTTATTTCGCTTATGAAACTCGTATCCCACTAAACCTGGAGAATAGCTGCGTGCTGCTGATGTATCGTTTCGGTTGATTATTCCTTCACACACTGCCCCCGCGCTCAACCGCACCTAAACATCCCGATCGCGTACCTTGTCCTCTTTTCAGTGTGTGTTCTTGCCCTCCACTACGTGCTTTAGTGCTCAACATTGGCGGATCGGTGCCCGAGCGGGCTAGCGCACACCAGCTCGGAGCGTGCACGTGGAACGAAAGCTCGCGCTGCAGAACCCAGGGGTCCTGGGTTCAATCCCCACCCCGGCCCGTTTCGATCCGGATGAGAATCGTACCGGCGTGCGGTCGTGTATCCCTACATCGTGATGCACATTAAAGACCACAGGCTATAGTGGTTGTACCGCACTGGCTAAATTGCTGATCTAGAGTGCGTAACAAGGTCGCCATGTTCAGGCAGAATGAACTCGTGCTGTATAAACAACGTACCTCTATACTTCTCAATTTTCTTTTGCTCAAGATTTGTGTTACATGATCAGAAGACTTTAAAAGCAACTCTGTTCCAGTTTTTATTGTTCTCATACATTGATCATGATATTGTTCCCGCAACGTCAATTGGAACATAAGTTTAATATGTTTACCCACGTCAACAAAGACCAGTGATTCATAGACCAATTGAGATTTCAAATAAATGCATACCTGAGTCACGTGCCATAACTTGTATTTCATGCGGGCTTTTTGCATCTACATCGAGACGTTCGTTCAGCGACGTACCTGAAAAAAGTGGCGCACCTCGCTAAATGCTGCCGTCGAACCAGTCATTATAGGCATGAAACAAATAATATAAAAAAAAACGCAAACTGAACATCGAAAAATATTTACATTACGCTGGACAAATCTATGCGATTTGTTTTTACTTTGGAGATATTAGGAGCGAGGAAAGTAAATTCAACATTGCATTAATGTTGGCTAGCTAGATGAACGAAGCAAGACAAAATATTTTTATGAAATATCACATATTTTTTGTTGGTAAAATGCGCTGTATACACTACAACACGTTGATGTCGTTTTGATTTGGGAGGGTAGGAAAAACCGTTGGAAGTCCTTGGCAGTTTTAGAAACGGAAAGAGTTTCGAGTCCATTACCCTATTAGGGCTCCGCATCCAACAATATTTCGATCTTAGAGGGGCCATGAAACGCTTTTCTTTTTAACTTAAGCTAAATACTACTCAGAATTACTCCCTAACGTTAATAACTGAATAAACCTGCCTTGGTTTTTCAAGTGTTAGAGTTCGGCTACTCTCATCTCCACAGTGGTTGGACACGCGCCACTACCCGAGTGCCAGCCGAGGCATTGATAGTTACAAGCCTAAGTCGAGCGCTCACGCAGTTCTCGTGTCCAAACTATGAGCCGCGCTCGATTAGCGGCCGGCGGGTAGTTTCGATTCCACCATTACGTCATCAAGCTTTGCGAAGGCAAGACTGAAAAAAAAAAATGTCCCGTTTTATACTCGCAATTTCACCTCGGCACAAGGAGCTTCCGAATCAGTAACATCACATCCCAAACGTTTGTAATCCCCTGAATAGCATAGGAGGAGCATGCTGACGACATGATACCTAAACAAATGTGCTTTTGTGACCCTTTAACTTAGCTGTCATTGCAGTAGTGATCAGCGACTTCCGTGTTCAGGTGAAGCGCGCTGACCATGATACATTTTTTCAACGTTTGGGAAAACAAATGTTGGTACAAAACATGTTAGGCAATCTACTTCCGCAGGCTGCAGGTTCGCTAGAGGTGCCACTCTCGTCATTCGCAACTACTTCTGATGGCTTTCGAAGAAATTTCCAGCACTAGCCTTTATGGTGATTAAAATAATCCCTGGAGAAGGGGAACAAGAGGGACAAAGGACAAGCACAAATCTCTAAACACCGCTAGGTGACTGGTGCGCGACCGAAAAAATCCGCCTGGTCCGCACCAGTCACTTAGCTGTGTTGGAGATTTGCGTTTGTCCTTTTCCCTTCTTGTTCCCCTTCTCCAAGGATTATTTTCATCATTCTTGTCCAGCTCGCTTGCAGCTTTGCATTTAATTGCATTATAATCATAGCCTTCATGGTATTTGCTAATACTACATAGATTCTTCGAACAGGACTGCGCGAATAGTTAAAAAAAAATTATCCACTCACCAGTTCTTCTCACAACCAGAGCTGGCGAGTGGATACAATTTTGTTTATCCACTGGGCGCCAGCTATCGAAACGTGCGGGGACCAGGGCTCGCCGATGAAATTAATCAGGTGCACCCAGAGGTTCCAGAGGCGACGGTACTTGCTTTTCCGAAGAGCTCGGCAGAGCGGGCCTCGGGCCCTTTCCCCCGAGCTTCTTCGTAGTGGGCGCCTATATCGATAGCCGCCGAGACATATGTGCTTCGCAAGAAGCGTGGCAACCAATTAAATGAGTATAAGTTGCACATGACATTCGAGACGCCGGTATTCCGGTGACTTAGACGTAGCGCATGAAAACGCAAGGAAGGGCGCCTGTGTGAACCCTCCTATCACGCAGCACCAATAGGGCAGCTTTACGGCGTTCGCAGCCTTCCTTTGCGTGGTCATCTGCCAGTACATTCATTCAAACACTGAGAGTGTGCGATGACTCAGCAATTCCATTCTGTATGCGTGCGAATCTGTGTCTCCTGTAGTTGCTGACCACAGAAGAATTGCTTTTCGAGGCAAGTCCCGCGGATCTTACTGTCTCCCCGAAGCCAATGACGCCTGGGATTTAGCCCATAAAGACGCCGAATATTCACGGATCAAGCAATGGGTACATGATACGCCGCGAAATAGGAACTAATTAACCCCCCCCCCCCCCCCCCCCCCGACCGGCGTTTAACTTTCAGTGAGTGTATAGAGGCTTTAACAGCGCTCCGACATATTGGGAAACAATGTCTAGGCGTCATCATGTTTGGTTACTAGAATCATTCGAGGATAATGACCGAACAAGTTCTTAACGCCAACTGTAGAAGTTTTAAACCTGTTGTAGTTTTTTTTTTATTTTTATGTAAACACAAAACTAGTTGTCTACTGCCACACTTAAACAAAAGAAGCACATGAGATAATCAAAACACTTCACGTGAATGGTATTACCATATGCTAAGTAGCAGAATAAAAAGAACACTTTCAGAAGAATCATTATCTGAACATCCAAATGACGTGAGAAGGAAAACAAAACCTTCTTGATGGCCAATCTGTACGTGATTCGATCCTCTAGCGTGAGCGAAAAACGACAAACCAAGTTTGTGTCTTCTCCAATGCTAACACCTAGGCGGAGTTTGTGCCTGAACATAGTTTTTTTATAGGCCACAACGAATGCGAACTTTCACCGGAAAGAGTGGCTGTCTGTCATGACGGTGTCAAATTTTGTGTAGACTATAGGTGGTATTTAGTTTGTGTCGTTTGCAAGTGGCAGTGGTCTCAGCAGAGCAATAAAAGGTAGGCTTTGACTAAGAAGCCGTGTTGATGTACCAGGGTGTTAGCCATTCATCATGCTTGAATCAAATTGTCCTACACCAGAACTTTTGTCGGCATTGTTTTGTAATTTGTTTGTATCTGAATTGTTACTTTAAAAGATCCTTGACCCTTAAGTCTTCCTATGCTTTCTTTCGGACTGACATTTGTCCTAGAGAAACTTTGAAATGCAAATATCGTTTTTGTTCACGTCAATTAGGAAGATTAAGTTATAATATCAAATGCTCAGTAATTATAACTTAAACCACAACGACAACTATACTATTTCATATTGAAGCTACGTTAAATTGAAAACAGAATAACAACCGAACGACCCGCTAAAGGGAAAGGGAAAGCTGCAGAGTAATGAAAGGGTCGGAATATGACTTTGATAAAAGAAAAAAAAAATCAAGAGGACTAAAAGATATCAGAAACAACGTCAGTGTTCCGCGTGTGTGTGTGATTTTATTCCGTCAAGCTCGGGTTTTTAAAAATCGATCTAGGTTGGGGACCATGTGGGCCAATAGGAAACATGCTAAACTGGGCAATTAGTTGACTGTTTAACTAAAAAGCGCAAATTACATTTTTTCTCTTACTCGCTGGCCATGATGAAGTTGAAGAATCGGCGCTCAACCTCATTATGGTCTAGCCGTGATGCGAAATTTTTATAAAAAAATTCGTAATGAGCGCGATGGTGCGAGTCATTTTTGTACACTTAAATCCGAATCTATGCAAAGAAAGATCGCCGTGAGCCAGAGTTCTCTCAGCCCCAACCCTGAGGGAAAATTGTGGTTGCAAAAACGATTTCGTCAATACTCTTTATGAGCAGAATTAGAAAAGCACCAATGTAATTGCCATTGCGCTGTTACACGTAGACTCATTCGAGATAGAGTACGTCATGGTGGTTAGAAGGAGTATTTAAAACATACAGCGGAACAGACGGGACGGAAGAAAGTAGACAAACAATCGGTGAATTTACAAGTGAAGTTTTAATCCTCAAAGCGCAGCCTATATACACCACAAAAGAAAGGAAGCACACACAGACAAAGACTCCCCATTGAAACTGGAACTATCATCGCGCATTTTGTCATCGCGAAAGGAGGTATAATTCTTTAGCCGATAAAAAAACAGATGGTGTGTTGACACACACTTCCCCTCAAGCGCGCTATTGTCTCTGCCTTTATAATCTCTCTAGTCAGGGCATTGACAATTTTTCCAGTGACACCAATGACAGTGCGTTTGTTTTTAAAATTCCGCACCACCCACAAGCACGACAATAACTGCCCAAGCGACGTGATACTACCCTGTTTATATTGTAACAATCTTCTCTTAACCTATCACTGGGGCATCTGCCCGACTGGCCTACGTTTTGTTCACCACAGGATAGCGGAGCGGAATATGCATTTTTTTCTGTACAATCAACAAACCGATTTTGATGCTTCTTTGTACACTCCGGAGGCCTCCCGGTAGACTGATTGACATCTCTGCAAAGCGTAGACAACTAGTTTGGGACAAAGAAGAGCACAGTGACGTCTACTCGCTTTCGTATTATCTTTAAGCCATGGGAAAATCTATGTAAATATTAGAGTATAGCAACTTTTGTTTTTTAGGAGCGTTTTCCGTATTTGCGCCGCCTTCTAGTTTAATTTTCTTCAACAAAGCGCCTGCAACCAACACCAATAGGTGTTCCGGATAATCCACTGACCGGAGGCGGGAGACTTGAGCGTCAAAGGTCACCTGTGCTTCATGGAAGCAGGATTTCTTCAGGGCATTCCTGAAGCACAAACTCATGATGCCCCTTTTAACAATTTAGAATGGGCGGATTGGTGAGATAAAGTGGCTTTAGTCCACAGTGTTCGAACGAACAACAAACGTGCTCTTCTAAAAATCTGAAGACGGAGGTCGAGGAAACGTATGCACTCATTGGCAGCCAACTCGTGAGTCAAAACCATTGGGGCCAAGCAGTCACCGAACACAGACGTGACCCACTTGACACCAAGCGGGTCACGTCATGCTTGGTACTATTTAAAATCACAAAATAGTCGTCAACGAAACAAAATTGTTTACCATATTTGAACCGTCTAAAAGGCTAAAAAGATCTCTTTCGTGATGTGCGATGTATATTTCGCTGAAAAGGGGGGCGATGCAAGACCCTATGTACACGCCCTACCTTTGCAAAACATTATGAGTCATTTCACTCTGTGAAGGTAGATGACCAGCGAAGCTGTTTAGCACATGACACAGATGTGACACGAGCTTTTGAACAAAGGTACGAACCCATTTATTGTCTTGATCGGTGATCATCGTAACAAAAGATACGCACACATATTTATTGTTGTCTTGATCGGTGGCCATTATTTCGCGTGGATGAATATATCCGCCCCAAGGAGCCGGAGGAAACTAGACACGCGCGGCGGGACCGCCACCCGACGGAAAGTAGACACGCGCGACGGGGCCGCCACCCCAGGATAGCGGAATAAAAAAAAACTAGGCACGCAACATCTTGGAACGACGACAAAGAGAGGGCGGAGTGAGCGTAGACATGACCAATGCGTGTCGCACAGCGGCAAATGTTTGAGAAACCTCCCTTATCTACCTTAGAGTCTACTGATCTTGAAAATGGTGCCTACTGATGACTCAACGAGGTGGAGGGGCCTAGAGCGATAAACCGGGGTTCCGGTCTGCACTCGAAAGTGGCCCCCATAAGGCCGCTGCCATTGTACGCAAATTTGACCACTCGTCACGTGACCAAACCAAATACGTGAGGTCACAGAAAAAATGGCAGCGCCCTGGCAGCGGCTGGCCCCAGCTGGGCCGGAGCATTGGCTGGAGCTTGTCGGTGCTTTGTTCGATGCCGTTCATCTCGGCGAGTCAATTTTAGACGCGGAAGCCGTGATATGAGGCCGGTCGAAAGCGACTCCAGAGTTCAGCGTGGTGTCTGACGTAGGTATAACGTGAAAATATGGAGGAATGGTGTGCATTTCGCTGTTGACCGACGGGGATATTGTCACGAAGGAGGCAATCTGCCCTACGTTGCTCGGACCTCGGATTGATTGGGATACCGCTAGGACAAAATGTAAAGTGACGTTTCTGTGCTCTCGTTGCTGCACAGTTGTGCTGTCCAAGAACAACTGCGCAGCGGCCTTGAAGTTGCGAGAATGGAGCACAAACACACTGACACCATCCGCATATATGCAGACGACGAGCGCATCCCGGCAGGGTAACAAGAAGCCATATATCCGGGAACTGGACGCGAGACAACGGAGAAGCTGTAAGGGTAAGGGAGACGGAGGGCGTCCTTTTCACACACCCACACCTACTGACTAGGAAAGGCGGGAGAAGAATAATAAAGCTTGGACTTGTGTTTGGGCTAGTTGGTTGTACACTCATAGACGTGCTGCGCTGCGAAGTTCTGCAGAAGAAACGCGTGACTAAAATTGAAAAAAAAAGATGAGTTTACATTGAGATGAGGAGACACACAACGAACGCGAATGGGCGCAGATTAACAACTGTTTATTCTTTTCTTTTTTCTCCTTTTCAATTCATTAGTTTCCCGTCGCGTGAGTTTGGAAAGGAGCGAACGCCCAAGTAGCACAACACGCCGGGTTGGGGATGGGGCGGTATTGGCCTGCCGGGATACCGATACCGGCCAGTACCGGAAACGCTCCAAGGGGCGACATTGGCCGGGTCCAATGCCGGAATCCGGCCGGTACCGGGAACTTATTGGGAAACCGGGATGCCGGGAATACGGGATGTTCCCAGCGAGCTCCCGACACAGATCCCCGGCATGGAACCGGTGGTACGGTAGGAAACCATCAGTGTGCCAGCGTGTTTCCGGGTCAGAGCCAGTCCAATTGCGGATTAGTCCCAGCGTAAAAACAGATCAGTGCCAGCGTAATTGTGGGTCATTGCCTGCGAAATTGCGGATCAGTACCAGCGTATGCGTCATTCAGTGTACCCAGCATAGAACCAACAGAATGCTATCTGTGTCAGGCTTTAAAGCCCAGGAATGACATTTTACTGCATTTTTGAACAGCTAACTTCTCAGTAGATCAAACTGACTTAAATGTGGAAAGGCTAAATTTCTCAGTCCAAACTATTTTATTGGTTTTCATATCTTTTATGGTGCTGACCGTTTTTAACATGTTTTTCGTACTTGAACTGAAAAAAGCCGGTTTAGTGTTTGTGCAATTTTTTAGAAACCAATTTGGTGAACAATTGTCTTTCTCCATGTATACAGTATACTCATGGCAATTATTGTATACTCGTTGAGACGACATGTCCCATTCATCTGTCGCCCAGATGCATATTGTGGGTAGTACAAGAAGGGAACATACAAAATTTTTTTTACCGTGACATTCTTTATTGTGACTCGTGCATCCATAGCAGCTAGCTCCTCAGCCAGAGTGTCCCTCATCGTCAAAGGCGGTTGGAACCACCAGTGGAGTGTCCGTCTTTTTAACTCTCTTGCCCTTGCCCGCCTCCCTGCCTGTCAGCCACTTCTGCACCGCGTCCACGCTGCACGAGTGCGACTTTGTGTGGCACCTGTACAGAGAATTGTCAGATCACACAGATTAGTTGAGGGATAGGGGAAGCCAATATCTTGCATATTAGCTACACACAAGGTGCTGTTCACACACTGCAGTTTGTGAGCGTTTACTTTGTGTAAATATGGGTCCCTCACCT